TCTCAGCCCCTTTTTATCTTTAATTTTTAAATTTTGAGAGAGGTTCTCAGTGAGTTTCTGAGGTGTGCGGGCTGGACTTGAACCTGTTGTCCTCCTGCTTCGGCCTCCCCGAGCGTCGGGGTTACCGCTCTGTGCCCCACTCCTGTCTTCGTCGCCATCTGGATGGATTATTAGTGTTTTCCCTATCTTGTTTCATCTCTTACCTTCCATTATTTTACTTAAGTACCTTACGGCAAATTTCAGATGCTCCGCTTCACTATAAACAATTCTGTGTGTTACTCTAACAGGTAAAGCCCTATTATGAAATGCAAAACAAAAAATAAAGTCCCAACCTTAATCACCAGACCATTGCTACATCTGATAAAATTAGTATTCCTCTTATCTCCCCTGGTACCTGTTCCATTTTACTGTCACTCAAAAATGATACTTTTAATTATTTGAATCAGGATTACAATATATCTGCACATTTGTTTCTTTATGTGAATCAAGGTCAAAGTACCACATTGCTCTGTATTTCTTTTTAAATTTCTGTTTTCTCATGCCATTTTTTTCTCCCTGAAAGCATAGCAGACATCATAACATGTAAGATTTTCCAGATTCTGGGTTTGGATCCAGTTCCACCCTGTTTCTCTACTCCCAGTATTTGCTGTACGCTGATTCTGAGCTCCGTGGAACTGACTGAAGCCAGGGCCGGCTTCTGGGCTAGAACCCACGTGAGCCCACCCTCTTGTGTCACCGTGGGAGATGCGCCTCTGCTCAACTGTTAATGATGTGAGGGTGGATGCAGCTGTTCACTGTCCTCAACTTGGGGGAGGGATTACAAATGTCGGTATTGACATTTTACCAAATGAACACTTCCTAGATTGGTACCAGAATGATGATTCTGTCACTCCTTGGAATGAATTGTTAAAAGGAAAGTTATCACAGTTTGTACTTTTAGAAGATTTGCTAATGTTTCCTGCTGAATTTTTAAATTAAGTAACAGGGAAGAAGAAAATGTATTAGTATTCACAGAGATTGAGACAAATTTTCAAAAATATGGACTATAGTTACTATTGGCCTTTAAAACATTTCATTATGAACTTTTGAAAAGATTATTCGTACTCATTAAAGATATATCTGAAATAATTGCATATCATTCCATATAAGATCTGTATTTCCATGGGTACACAGTACCTTGAGACTGCAGGATGGTTTACACTTTCAGGATGTTTCACAAGCTCTTCCTTTGCAGATTACTAAGTGTGGTGTGCTGTGATCTGGATGCCCTGCTCCTCCTGGAGGCTCAGTATCAGGTGTCCAGGGTCCTACTGCGCGCTCAGGAAGAAAACCGCTCAGAGACCTCCGGGAGCCACAGGTGGGAGCGGTGTCGGAGCGTGAGAATAACAAGTCCTTACAGACACTTTATTAGACAGCAGTTTTCTGTACAGCTGGTTTCTTACCATCTGAATTCAATAGATTTAAACAACAGAGTAAGAAGCAGTTAAAGTAGAAATGTGAGTTTATGGCACTTTTGGAGAGGGCTTGCAGAGTCCTACTGTGGAAGTTAGCGGCTGTTTTCTTATTTGTATTTCTATGGTTTAGTTAAGCCCTGACTTTATTAATGATTCTATGCAGTTATACCACTTTTAAGTTCACCTGCATGTATGCAGTGACCTACTGAATAAAGCGTCTGACTTTGTGTCCCTTTTGGATGACTCTCTTCTCCACTCTCAGCTATGGCCGTCCATGGTCATAAATTCTGATTATTTGCAGAGTGAAACTGTGATGATATCGTAACAGTTTCTGTCTCACCATCACCTCCGTGTGAGTCATCAGCTGCCATTGCTTTCATTTCTATAATTTTGGAAAAAAGAGTCGTCCAGGGCCGGGGATTTAGCTCAGTGGTTCCCGCGCCTGCCTTGCAAGTACAAAGACCGAGTTCAATCCCCCGTACCGAAAATAAAAAAGAATAGTCCACTCCGTGTAGCCAGGTCTTGGGAATTTAGAGTGTGCTACTTGGCGCTATAAGTTGATGGGGAGGAAAAAGACGAACAGATCACAAAGTGTGGCGGCTGCTGCCCAGCAGCATTTAGACTTTAAGTTCGAGGCACTGGGTCTGGGCTGTGAGAGCACCTTGGCTTAATGAATAGTGGGCCACTGTAGAAATAATGAGAACTTAATCGCATTTCGTTAAAGTCCCACAACATTTATGTGTCAAGGAAACACGGTTCTGTTGGTGCCACTAGTCGTGTGTCATTATGTGTCCATCATTTATCTCCTCTCTAGCTAAGAAAGCTACAATACAAAACGAATTTAGCCCTTTCGTGTATTTTATGCAAAGCACTGATAAATACCCAGTTTTCCAGATGTTCCTGCTTTTCTTCTCTACAATCTGGTGACGTGATTTTAAAAAATAAATTATTGTCAATGAAGGAGTTATCAGAATGGCCATATGTAATGTTTTCTAGGGATTTTATAATCGATGGCTTATCAGTGGAGAGAAACCACGTTCTCGTGAGAATGAATGTCATCGGGGGGCCGTCGGAGCGGACTCTGCCCCCACGGGTGCTGGAGAAGGTTAGTGCCTCAGAGCGAGGCAGGCAGCCGGGTCAGAGGGTGGGCAGGACCCCACACATGTTGTGCCACACAGCTGGACTTCTGCCGCGGCCACACTGGGGCACGAGTCAGGTCCTAGCCGAGCCAGCACTGTCCGGCCCGGTCTCCAGTCTGTCTGTGTAGCGGAGCAGGTGCTGTGCTGCGGAGAGCTACTCCTTCCTCCTGGTGTTTCTGAGCGCCCTACTTCTAGCGCCTCTCTTTTTCACGATGGTTAACTCCATGAGGCCCCTGTTTGTCTTGTGTTCTTTGGCGATACAGAGCCTTCCTGCATCGGCGTCTGCTTGGTATCGGTTTCTCACGAGGCGTATTGTTCTTGTTGTCTAGAACATTCTCGACTTGATTGCAGTTCTGGGAAAAATGAGGTAGAAATGATTGGCAACACAAGGAAAACAGTTTCAGGGGAGGAAAATACAGGTTTCTTTTGATGATTATAATTTTGCTTTCATTAAAAAAAATGTTATGTCATCACTATCAATCCTAACACCCTGTGTCTATCTTCAGTGCTTAATGTCGTTTCTTTTACGTTTTATTTTAGTTGTTATCTTTTGGAATAGTGAGTTATATTATATATTAACTTTTGGTTAATTGGGCAACAGTCCTAGAACTTACAAGCAAAAATCCAGTGTAAATTAATGATATTTCTGAAAACGCTAAATTTGAGTATTGTTATAAACTATTTCCTGAAGTTTTTTATTTGCTTGTCTTTCAGGGTGAAAATCCATACCCTTGGCCAATGTTTTCATGTTATCCCTTGCCACATTGCTACCTCTCAAAAGCTATGAGAAATTGTTATGTAAAACAAGGTAAAATATTACCAAGTCCTACGTTATTTTTCATTCTTTTGTTACAATTCAAAACAATAATATATTAGGAGGATAATATCAAATGTTTATTCAGCATTATATAGAGGTTCACATATGCCTACTTCCTTTTAACTTTTACTTTTTCTCTTTTTTCCTACTAATGAGGCCGAGTAATTCCACCTTTTTGTGAGTAAGGTAATAAATCTTTCTAGTGGCAACAGCTGTTTGGATTTATTTATTTATTTATTTGCTGGATGAGACAGGGTCTCACTATGTAGTTGAGACTGACCTGGAACTCATTATGTAGCCCAGGCTGGTCTCAAACTCACAGCGATCCTCCTGCCTCAGCCTACAGGCGTGAGCCACCACGCCCGGCATAGCTGTTTGGTTTTAAAAAGTAACTGGTGCTTTTTGATTTGTTGGATTCTAGGGATGTAAAAGGTTATTTATTCAGCACGTGCCACACAAACGTTCTCTGTGCCTGTGACTTTGGGAGGTGCCGAGCAGAGTGGCGCACACTGGGGCCAGCGTCCTTCCCCTGAGATGCTCTCCAGGAACCCGGGAAGTTGTACACTGCGGGGCGAGAGACGCCGGGGGTTTTCTGGGTAACGGAGCTGTCTGGAGGGAGATGCAGAGGGGCTGGAAAAGCAGGTTCTGTTGAGAGAGCCCTGGAAGGGGCGCCGACCGCGAGTGCCAGCAGGCTGAGGCCGGGCTTGGATCTCAGCCGCAGCGGGGACCTCAGGGACTCGGGTTGGCGAATCCAGGTGAGGCAGATGGAGTCTGCGGTGTGTCAGGAGCGTCTCCCGGTGCGTGGGGAACCTGCGTGGGGAAGGAATCAGGCCGCTTTCCCACAGCGGGTGCCCTGGACGCTTCTCCGCGAGCCTGAGCCTTTGCTTCGATGCCCAGCGACTTTCAGGACACCGAGGCAGGACCATCTCAGGCTCCCTACGGGTATCTTCCAGGGACCCCAAATCGTTCTCAGGCCTCCGCTGCCCGGCTTTCCTGCTCTACTTCCGGTCACTGTATCTGAATTCTTTGTCCTGTTTCACATTTCAGCACCGGGTTCCCAGTGCTGGGCCCTGGGCTCCAGGCACCCGGCTGGGCCAGGGACAGCGCCCGCACAGGGCGAGCGGTTCGTCTCTCCCCCTGCCTGGCCCTTCTCCCACTCTCCTTTCCCTGCTGTAACATTTTTCTTTCCAAAGTTTCGCTCAGAAATAAGTGTCTCATGTGACCATGTCTTTGATCATCTGTTTCTTCAACACTGTGGTAAATTGAACAAGGTGGACAATTTTTTTAAAAAGATGTAAATAGTCACTTTCCTAAGGAGAAAACAAAACCCGCCTTAACTTTAGGGAAGGGTGTGTGGCGGTGTCTCCCTGCTCCTGTGCCCCTCCTGAATGCACCTGCAGGAGGACGGAGGGTGCGGCTCTGTCCCCGGCCGCAGTGGGCTTGCTGCCCGTGCCTTTCTCTCCCAAATGGGCATCCCCAGGGTCTCTCGGCCCTCCTTCCTCTCCTTCCCACACTGCCTGGCTGCCTGGGCTGTCTGTGGAGATGCTGGCCTGAAGGCCACTTCCCCTGTACCTCGTCCTCTTGTCTGAGACCGGCTCAGAGCTCCCCTCTCCCTGCTGACCTGCGGCCGTCACCTGTGCCCCTCCTGCGAGAGCTGTGCCTGCCGCTCGGTGTGCCCAGCGCCCTCCCGCTTGGCCTCCCTTCCACGACCTCTACAGGTCCTTAACTCTGCATGCCCTGAACGCCACTCACTCAGCCAGACCTCCTGACCAGGGACTTTGTGTTACTATCTCTAATCTGCTACAGCTTTTCATTTCTTAACTTTGTTGTGATTTTTTATTACTCCCTGTTTGCGGTACAGAAATTTAACCTTCTGTGTGGGGCTGGTGTGTGTGCCTACACATCCGGTTTATTTTCTGACCCCGCTGCCTCCCGTCCGTCCCTCTGCTCTACCTCTTGATCCCTTTCTCGTTTGAGAAAGCCCTGTCCATTTCCTGTTGTCTTTCTTGGATTTTGCTCTTTATTTATACTTTGGGTTTTCTGTATAAGAGAACCATGTGAGATTTGCAAGTTGGTTTTTCACTTAACGTTATCAACTAGAGGTGCATCTGTTTTCCTGCAGATGACTCAAGTCCATCCTTCATGGCAGAGTGGGCTCCACTGTGGGTAAATAAGCACCACATTTTCTTGTTCCGGGTATCTGTTCATGGACGTACAGGCGGCTTCCAAGATTGAGCTGTGCTGCAGTAAACGCAGGTGTGCACATGGGTGTGCGTGTGTCGTGGTAACGTGATGTCTTTAACTCTTTTGAGAAGATACCTAGAAGGGAAATAGCTGGGTCAAGTGGCGTTTCTAGTTTTAGTTTTTTGAGGAATCTCCATGTTAATTCAGTTGATTTTTTAAATTGACAAGTATGAATACTATATGTATATACATGTGTGTGTATGTACCCTGTATGTATTCTGCACCTTGTGTCCTGAAATGTGTGTACATTTCAGTGATAGACACACACGCACACATGGCAGACTCAATCAACCTGACCGACTTGCGTCTCTGGTCGCTGGAAATACTTGCTTTTGTGGTGAGAACACGTAGAACTCCTCTGTTAATACACAGCAGGATGTTTTTAAGTTTAGTCGCGGTGCTGGATGACTAGAGCTCTTTACCCTTTTCTCCTAACTGACATTGTGCAGTTTGACCGAACATCTCCTCCAGCCCTGCAGCCCAGGCCTTGGCTCCCCTGTTCTCTCTGTTCTGGGACCTCAGAGCTCTGAGACTCATGCACGAACAAGCCACGCAGGACTCCGTCTCTTTGCGTGTCTTCTGTGGTACATAGGGTCCTATGGGTCTGTGCATGTGATCACAGACGGCAGCACTTTTCTTTTTCAAGGCTGAGGTCTTTCTTTGTTGTTATTTTGTTGGTTTTGAGGGAGAAGTAATTTCCACTGGATCATTTTTGAAAACCAGCCAGTATATTTTGCTCCCATATTTAACTGTCTTCTGGTGAATCCACTTTCCTTTTCCTGAAGTCCCCCTGCTCTCCTTCCCGTTGCTGCAGGATTTCTGAAGGCATTGTCTGCACCTGGTCTTCAGGGGCTCTTTCTCACATGCGGGACCTGCGGCTCCCTGTTTCCACCCCCAGTGGCATCGCGTCTTCATTCTGTAGTGGGGCCGCCCCGTGGTGCCTCCCGGAGTGGACCTGCCGTGTCTAGTGGCTTCTGTGTGCCCTTGCCTGGCTCTCGCTCGCTCGTCTCCCGGCTGTGCAGGGCCTCAGCCCAGTCCTCAGCTTCCCCGTCACGGGCTCTGTCACCCTGGTCTCTCAAGGCCTCTTGGTCCATCAGCTGGGCCTCTCTGCATGGCCGCCCGTTTCTCTCTCGTGTCTCCTGGGTGCCGCTCTTCTCTGTTGTTAGCCCTCAGATCTGACACAACTGAGATCAACTCCTGATGCTCCTCCCGAATCTGCTCTCTGGGTGTTTTCCCTCATTTCAGAAATGGCCACTTTGTGCTTCCTATGCTGCACGCAATAAACATGAAGACATTTTTGGTCTTTCTCTTCATATCCCGTAAATCTGCCAAGAAAGCGCCTACTCTGCACATGGAAAATAAAACCACTTCCGTTCATCTCCCATCGCTCTCCTCTCTCACCTGTCGCGGTGTCCTGCCGGGTACAGTGGCCAGATGGATACCATTGAAACGGACTTGTAACGCTGTCTAACTGAATCCTTGATGGCTTCCTTGCTATTTACAAGGCCCAGGACCTTTGTGACACCCTTCCTGGCACATGCTTTGCTTTAGGGAATGTGGTACAATCTAAGGCCCTTTCCCACTGTACTACATAGGAACTCTTACCGTGTTTCTGTGTATTCGTGAAACAGAAGTGTTTGAATAAGACATGATTCCCAGTTTGATAGTAGCACTTGATAAATCCTGCCTCAACCCAGTCTTGCTGTAGTTCTTGGTCAAGAGGAGGGAATGCTTTGGCATCAGTGGAGAGCTTAGGAGGTGCCCTGGGAAGAGATGTTAAGATATTTATTCAGCTCACCATGACTGATCGCATTCCACTGTTGCAGGTGTCTGTGCCACTGATAATAGACTCAGGCACCAGAAAACAGGAGAGGAAGTCAGGAACCTGTCTAGCTTTCCTTTGGACTCAAGGGGTACAGAAATGGTATGTCTGGAATCAGTGAGAAAAGTTAGCCATGTATGCTTTTAACAGGCATAAGGCTGAACTGAAAGTGGTTATAATTAATAAACTATTAATTTTGCATTTTCAAAAATACTATGCTCAAGCTAGTAATACTTTAAGGCACCGCAAAGGATATTTTAAAAGCAAGACTTATGTACTTTCCATTATGCTTTCTGACTCAGAAGTGATGATTCACTGACTCTGACAGGTGTTATTTTAGTCATCATTTGTGCTGCAGAATTTTGGTTTATTGTTTCGCTGTTGTGGAAAAAAGTCCCTTCAGCTGTGTGCCCATGGTGACACCTTCCTCATTTGTCTACCAGCGTCAAGATTTATCCTGCTTGCTGCAGTTGGCATCTCCTCATCTGTTAAATTGTCTCTTGTTAGCTCCTTGGCATCGATGTTGGCTGTTAGGTGATTCATCTTCATCTGTAAATGAGAATCCGAGATGTCACCTGGTTCAGTCGTTCCTTGTGAACATTTTCAGTGTCGCTGTATCCAGATGTACACAGCCCTTTCAAAGCTGCTGATTAACGTTTGCGTGTAAGAGAACCTGCACCATTGTGCACGTATGCACATGCGTGTGTCTGCATATGAACACAGACATGATGTGGCACACACGGAAGCTTTACTCAGTAGAAATGATCTCTGCTCGGACTCTCATTTCTCTGTCATCTGAGAGTTCAGACAGTGTTGGGGTCTCCTAGAGGAGGGAACTTGGGCAGATGACCGTGGACACAATGAATGACCAAAAGCTGATGGCTAATGGCAAAGTTTATTCTGACACAGGGTCTTACATAGTAGT